CATTTGTTTAGTCACTGTTTTCAGCATATAAAACACAGTCTCTTCTGAAGGCACAGATCTCAGGCCTCACCCTCTAGGAGGCAAGTCTCCAGGGGACTGCAAATCATGGCTTTATTTTTGCAAGTAAAGGCCATTATTACACTTGAATTTGAAAGTGCTCTGAGATCTAGAGAGGGCACAGGGCCTGTGGGCCACTGCCGCTGAGCAATCACCTCCCAGCTCCTTTCCCTGCCTGGGAATATGGCCACATACCTGCCCTGCCCTTCTCTCCAGTTTCCAGACTTCTCTACAGTTGCTCCTGAATCAGTCTTTCCCTGTTGAAGAGGCTGCATCAGTGTTAGGGGAAGGGAGGTGGTTGTAGAGGGAGGATCGAGAAGCTTCTTAGAAGGTAAGCTAAAGCAAGCCAAAACCCTCAGCAAGTTACTTTGATACATAGTAGGAAATATGTCTCCATACTCAAAAATTTTTCTTTGCAAATTAGACTGCTTAAATGCTGTGGTGGCAGGAATCCTGGCTGGGGAGGCACTTCTTAGCTGACTGCCCTGGAGGACTCACTCAGAGTTAAGTGCACCACACCTTCCTCACCCCTGGGCTTGCCACTCTCTTGCTGATCTGTTTTCTCTCTTTCCCATCTGTGTGGAGGGTTTGATAACATAATGGTCTGAAGCTATTGCTGAGCACAAATTTATTTCTCAGAAACCCCAGTCTCCAGGTGACCTTAGCCGGCAGAGAACTCGGCGTGGAGATTGTCCTGTTGGGAGAAGAGTTGTCTTATTTGTGTCCGCCAGACTTGAGAACCCGAGTGTTTGGAGTTAGTTAAGGCCAGTGCTCCTGGGGAACGTCCCTGCGCAGGATGGAATTGCTGGGAAAGCAGCAGTGCATTGTGTCCAGTGCTTTGGGGGCGATGTGGGGACGCAGAGGCAACCAGGTCAGGGCTTTGGGTGCAGGGTGCAGGCCAGCTACGTGCAGGGCTGCTCTTCTGCTTTAGAGGACCCAGTGATGCCGACTGTGTGACCCGCACGGCATGGTGGCCCTGTGGTGGGATCAGAGGTGGTCACCCTATGCTATTAGTGTCAGCTTTGTGGAGACCTTCCCACTCTATGTGCTCTTTCCCACTCTATCTGTGTATGGCTCTTTGGGGTGTGGCCTGTGTGCCCACTTGGACCTGCACTTGGCTTGGACAAAGGCCCTTCTCCCCTGTGTATCTTCCCTCCCAGCCTTGGGCCCTCATCCTGTGCCTTCAGGAAGGCCTGATGAGACAGAGAACAGGAAAGAAATTACTGTGCCCATTCTCAGGGGAAGCTTGGAATGCCAATCCTGACTGGTGTGCTGTCTCCTGGGTTGGTTGGCTCCCAAGCCCTTCCATGGTTCTTCCCCTCAGAGAAATGCACCCAGGACCCCTTCTGACTGCTTGTGGTTTTCCAGCCTCATGTGCTGCCCTCCCACCCCTCAGGGCCACCTTCCCTGCACTGCATCTCTGTCAGCCTGCTGTGCCTTGCACATGCTGTTCCATCTGCCTGGACGGCCCCCACCCCCACCACCTAGAAAGTTCCTGCTTACCTCCTTCTCTGGGAGGCTTTTCCAACTGAGGCAGGCGATGTGGGGCTGTGTCTTCCTTGTCCCTTGGGTGACACTAGGCACCATAGGGGATTTCTGGGGCCCCTCATCTTGTCACCTCCCCATGGGCTCCTGGAAGGCTGGGATCCCGGTGTGCGTGGCACTGAGGTGCTAGAAATAGGACCAAGGACTGAGGTTAGAGCTGGTGTATAAGGGCATCCACGCCCAGTGTCCTCAGCCCATGCATGCATTCACCAGCTGAGCAGGCACAGGGCTGGTGGTCACTGCCATTGCCTCTTCACTCTGGTCCTCCTACCCCCCCTATCCTGTTGCTGGTTGGCAGGGCTAGTGTCCGGCATTTCTTTGTGCTGTGGTCCTGCCAGCGCTGCCGCACTTAGGAGCCCAAATGTGTGCCTGCATGTGGAAGTTCAGACCAGCAGCGCCTCCAGAGCGAGGGGAATGTTCTCCAGTGACTCAGCAAGCTTGGGCTCTGCCATTTCTGTGGGAGCGGTGCTGGGACAGTGATGAATCACTTGCTTGCCTCTTGATTTGCGTCAATCAAACCACATGTGAAGAAAGCAGCAGTGAGTGAGGCTTTGCTGGCAGCCTGGAGTCCAGCGCGGGGACACTCGCCAGGGACAGCCACAGAGGGCCTGCCGCTCACCCCGGTGGTCCAGGCTGCAGGCTGGGGTGGCTTCCGCCAGCTTCGCCCCCACCGTCCCCGCCATTCCCGCCAAGCCGCAGTGGTAATTTCTCTCTCTCTCTCTCCCTCCCTCCCTCCCTCTCTCCCTCTCTCCCTCCCTTCCTCCCTCCCTCCCTCCCTCCCTCCCTCCCTCCCTCTCTCTCTCTCTCTCTCTCTCTCTCTCTCTCTCTCTCTCTCTCTCTCTCTCTCCTGGCCACTCTGTCCTGGGCGAGGGACGCTTTCAGTCATGGGAGTGTTAGCAGCTGTCTTCTCTGACATTTCACAGAATTGTCCTAGACGTGGCTCTTTGAAAAAATTCCTTGTAAGACAGACTCATTGAGAAGGCGTGTCACTGCTCCCTGCCCCCATGATAGCCCAGAGACCTGATAGGGAGGACGTTTCCAGAGCAGGAGGGCAGGCCTAAGAGCAAGCCTGGGGAGACGGTTTGCAACACAGTTTGTTCAAGCAGATGCTTCAGGGACTGTGAGCCTTTCCCCGTCAAGGTGTATCCTCCATGTGGTCCCAGGAGCCGTGCCAGGGGAATCGCAGAGATTCCTGTGGCATCACCAGTTTACTGTTTGCTTTGTTTGAAATAGGCAAGTTAAGTTTTTATTTTTTAAGTAACTTTTACGGTATTATTGTAGTTTAAATTGTAGCTGATATCCTAGTTGCTTGGCTAATCACAGCTATGGTTGCATCTTAGAAGGATATTATCCTCACCTCCCCAATGTCCTCTTCTCAGTGAACCCCTACCTTAGCCCTGGAAACAAGGCAGAACTCCAGGGCACTTTGGCAGAGATCAGAATTGTATGTAGGTGCAGCTGCTCTAGGGAATCAGAGAAACTTAGTGCGGGTGAAGTCTTCCGAAGTCTCTGAGTATAGTGTGGCCTTCCAGAACTGCAAGCAACCTGCAGACAGCTAGTAAACACCAACCGAGCAGCCACCACATGGACAGAGTAACACTGGAGTCCAAATCCAGCCCTGTCCTGAGGTAGCTTTCAATTTTTTATTATGGAAAATTTCTAACACAAAAGCAAAAGAAGTGAGAATCAGGAATGACCAGGTGGCCATCCTCAACTTCAGCCATACCCAGCTGCGGCCAGTCTGTGGCCCTTCTTCCTCACTGAGTGTGTGCACGTGATTATAAAAGATACCATTACCACAACTGAAATGTTGGCACTTTAATGCTGTCAAGTACTTATTGTTTAAAACTTCAGTTGTATCAATATTGCTTCATATTTTTACTGGTTGTTCAAGGGTCAACTGAGATTCATATACGACTTCTCTCCCCTTCTCTCTTTGCTTGCAGTTTTTAAAAAATCTATTTATACATACATTGTTATGTTAGTTTCAGGTGTATGACATAGTGATTCATCGTTTATATACCTTACAAAGTGATCACCACAGTAAGTCTTTAATGGGCTTGTTGGCTATTTGTATTTTTATTTTTGGAGAGATGTCTACTCAAATCTTTTGCCTAACACTTTCAAATTGGGTTATTTGCCTATTTATTATTGTGTTGGAAGGGTTCTTTCTATATTCTAGATACAACTCTTCTATCAGATCTGTGATTTGCAAGTATTGTGTCTCATTCTGTGTATTGTCTTTTCATTTTCTGGATGGTGACGTTTGAAGCACAAAGGTTGTTAGGTTTGATGAAGTAGAGCTTATCTGTTTTTTTCTTTTCTTTCTTGTTGATTTTGGTGTCATCAGAATTATTTATTAAAGTCAAATTGGGTAGAAAATTACAGTGCAGGTCTCCTCCTAGGGCTGCTGGCTTTGACTTGGGTAAAATGTGAATAAATGCTAAAAGGCTTCTGGGGCTGTTAGCAGGGGCTTATTTCCTTGCCTGGGTGTGCAGTGTTCATGGTGGCTCACTTTCTCACAGTTGTTTTTACTTGAATGTCCATGGGAAAATGGCCAACTAAATGGAAAGTTTCACAGAGAGAACCAAGTTTCTGCACTGATTTTTAACCATGGTTTTATTCGTTGTTATTGTGGGCAGTTTGTTGGAATTTGGCATCATGTTGTGAATTTTCTTTGAGTTTGCTATTGCTGGTCTCGCTGAATATCCCAGCATTAGAGTGGTTCCCTCCCTTCCCCAAACAAAAATTCCACAGCATTCAGAATGCTTCATGTATCATACAGATAGACATTTCCCTATCCGCAGGTTAATTGTGGGATTCTGTATGTCCTGGGAGGGAGGCTAGGGCATGGACTCTGCAACCTACCGGCAGGGTGCACAACTGGCTCACCATTCACCCACTGTCATCAGTCTCGGCCACCCCAGCTTCATGTCTGTACAGTGGGATGACAGCAGCACCTGCCTGAGAGTCAGGTGGATTCACTTTGGGTGGGTGGAAGCCACAAGGAGGCTGCCGGTTGTAAGGGATTATACTGAACAGTCACTCAGAACAAGGAGGCGGATCTCAACTGTCCAGGTGAGCATCTTGGCAGTGACAACATTGGAACTTAGAATGCACTTTGTGAAACTTAGAAACTTTGGAATAGGCTGCTGCTGTCTTAGGCCATTTAAAGATAAAACATACTAAACACCAACCTTTGTATCAGTTTTTAATTCTGAATCTTCTGTTTCCTTCATGTATGGTTTGTGTCTCTTGAGCTGTCTCACTAACCAGGGTATATTTAGTATCAATCCAGATAGTTACCGCCTTTCCCAATGAGGAAGGGTCACTTCGCATTTTCCTTGTCACCAGCCAGCCCCCAGTATATGGTTTACTCTGTGTTTGCTTTTTCCAAGGTCCGTGTACAGTGTACTGGTCTGAAGTAAGAGCCACTTAAATCTCCACATGCTGCTCACAGGTAATATTCACACCCATTCACAGCATCAGCTGGTTGTCTTATCCTTTCCATTAAGTGGCTGGTTGTTCTCCTTTTTTTTGTCTCTGCATTTGCTCTGTTTTGCTGCAGTAATTCCTGATTTTTGCACGGTGTCAACTTACTCTGCTCCCTTCTAGCGGAACACATGGGAGGATAGCTAATGAGTGTCCCATTGAGGCAACAATTATTTGCACTTGTCAAGAACTTGCCTCCCTGTTGAATTGCCTTTAGCAGATTTCTGTGTTTATCATCATGTATTTTCACATGTACTGATGGGGACAGGCAGCTCTTCATTGGCACAATTAACTCCTGTGTAGCCCCTGGTTCTGTCTCCAGGACTAGCCTCCCTGCTCCAGAAAGGGTGTTGGGCTCTGTGATCTCAGAGCCGCTTGTAAGGAGCTGACTCTTTTTCTCAGAGTCGCCTGTTTGTATTGTGTAAGGGCATTATTGAAAGACAGAAATCAGGTACAACCACTGTGCTTGTTTGAAGAGTGGGTACCTAGGAAGCCTTGGCAAGTTCCGATGAACCATACATTAGGACGACAGGACACAGGCCTCAACCCCATCATGTGTCCTTTCTGCCTTTTGTTACGTGTATACAGTGTGTCCTTTCCCATTTATGGCTGATGTGTAAGATTGTCAGTGTCTGTACATTGACATGGTTTGAGTGATCTTCCCATAAAACCCTCAGTGAGGAACTTGGTTGCTGAATACATGGCGGAGCCTGAAAAGGGCATCCATCCCAGTGGTTGGCCCATGGGAGCCTCTGAGAGTGTCTCATTTCTGAGCTGGCCAAGGGGTCATCCCTGACGCTGAACCCAAAACACCAAGTGGAAGGAGGGGTCTGCCGAGTATTCCTGGGCACCCACCCGAAAGGCATAGAGGTTGCCTGATCCTTTCTCCAGCCTGCAAACCCCATCATGTTTGTTATACACTTGTGCGTACACACTCATGTATGTATGGGTGTACATATGTGTGATGACAGGTGCTTGGGTGGTTCCACCTATTAGTAAATAAGTGCTGATATGGAAATTTCCACAGCGGCTGAGAATACAGTTGCTTGAGGCCCAGCCATACAGGTGACTGGCCCTGTATTCCCTGCCAGAGCTGGTAGCTTCCTTCATAGCAGCTGAACTCATTCCTCCCACCTAGTTTCTTCTTTGTCCCTTTCATTTTGGAGGCTGAGGAGGATGGGGCTCCTTAAATCTCTTTGAGTCCTGGGTCTAGGTGGGTTCTCCTGTACCTGTCCCCTAACTGGCCCCTTGGCCCCAAGCCCATCATGATCCCAGTGTCCAGAGGTCCCCTGGAGGCCTCTTTGTAAAAAAGCTGAGGCTTATTCCCTCCCAAAACCTTTGATTTTTCCCTTTTCTCTGTTGATCCTGGTTTATGTTAAGGTGGATGAAAAAGCATAAAGAAGTTTGGCTCTCACAGTCTAGTCTATATAGTTTACTGGGAAATCTTGTTGGGAGCCTCTCGAATCTGGGACAAGAGACTGGGTAGTCAGCTCGCTACCTCAGCACCACCTGGAGCCCCTACCTTCCCCTGGCCTCTGAGTGCTTCCTAATGCCATCTCTCCTGGCACTTCTGAGATAAAGCTGTTTGTGGAGATGCTTGGGAAAAGTCAGTGTGGAGGAAGTATTTTGATTCTTTGTTATGATAAGTCAAAACTCTGAGAGACCTTTGTTCACTATGAGGATGAGTATCTTTCTCCTCAACATATGCCTTATTTACTTAGCATCTTTTCAAAATCACAGTTCACCCCAAGAAATTCTAAACTTCCCTCCAATATCTCTTGGCTTGCTTTCTCTTTTTGAAGTACAGAGCTGGGTATTCTCTCCAGGAGGGCCTCTTTGCCATCCCAGGAGAGGCTCAGGCCTGGAGTAGGCTATTCAGCAGGTCACCAGCTCTTTTGGGCTTGCTGAGAATTTTTTTTGCCTCTTCCAGCACATACTCATACCTTGAAAGGAGTAACTCAGCAGAGGGAATGAGTGAAGAATTAGACAAATTAAAAAATGACATGTAAAAAAATATTTCCTATTTTGATAACCCTTAGATTTAATTAAGATAAGTGAGGATTCTGATAATATGCATTCAATTTACAGGCAGTTCATAGTGTGGTGTTTATTTTTTTGAAAATTGCTTAATGGTCTTTGTCATTTTAGGAAAATGCCTTCATTCTTAAATGGGATGACATTTGAAAGACCAAGTGTTTGGAATTATCCAAAAATCCAGAAGCTAGAAACAATGAGCAATAGTAGACTTCATGTTGAAAACTGACCAGCTGAGCTCCAGTAGGCTCTGGTCCTACTCAAGAGAGAGGCCTGAGCCCAGGAGCTGAGGCCCTGGGGGTGGGGGTGGGAGGATGCCTTTCCCATGCTCTCAGTCTCTATCACCCTGTTGTGATCACAGGCACAGGACTGCTACTGCACAGGCCTTTTCGTGTGAGGGATCTGGTGCCAGCCTGCTGGGCCTCCTATACCCTCCTGGTGCTCCCCCTGAGGAAGTGCTCCTGAGCTGTGGTTTAATGTTTCCGGCTTGTGGCTGGTTTCTTGAGTGTACAACTCTCTCTATAGCTGCTGTAGAGTTGGGAGCCCTTCCGTGAAGTCATAGATGTTTGCTGTCTTCATAGCATCTGGAGGGGGTTGGCAGTCTCTACTGACTTTGGGGAACCCTGGCTGTGATGTGGCCCTGGTGTCCCTGACAGTGACTTTGGGGCACTAATGATTTCAGATTTGATCAGTTTCCACATGAGGGTTCAGCTTCAATGTGGAGGAGGGAATCTGGGTGTCCCCACCGAGGCCAGGGAGAGTGGATCCAGAGGCAGTGCAGGGTCCACTCTAGCACCTGGAAAGAGCCAGGCAGTTGGCTTTGTGGCTTTGAAGGCTGGTGCTGAGGTGCCTGACAGTGGGGGCTTTCTTTGTTTTTAAGAGGCCTGTTTTTGAGTGTGAGCCCCTGACTTCTTGGGAGAAGTGAATTTTTTTGAAGTCACACCCATTGACTGACTGAGAGTGATTTCCTGATTTAAAAAAGTTCTGTTGCTGTATTAACTGAGAAGTCACAGGTTTGAACAGGAAGCCACTTGTGGCTTTGTTTATGAAATCTCTGGATTTATGAAATCTCTAGAACATGGTTAGAATATATGATTTTTTCTGTGAGAGATGTGTCAGCACCCTGTTTAGGACGGGCCAGCTAGGGAGTCAGGTGGTTGCATGCTGAGCCTGGGCCTAGTGCACAGGCTAATAACCCAGGTAGTGGCATCCTTCCTTTGGTGACACCAGGTTTGGGGTGAGGGTGGGGGCGCTCACAGCAGCTGAGGAAAATGTCTGGGCTGCGGGGTCACTTCAGTTCTTGGCTTCAGTGGTCCCTCTGCTCCCAGGGCCCTGCACCCCTGCCTCCCCATGGTCTGTTGTGTGGTGGGAGAGGAATGTCTAGGCGAGGTATTCTCTGAACCTGGAAAGTTCTGAGGCAGCCATGCCACAAGCAGCATGGATGTATCCCGATCTGTGTCAAATGTATTCCAGTCAGTGTCAAATAGGAGGAAAGGGGAGGTATCTTGAGGGTGACAAGCAGTCCCCTGCCTCCATGCAGGTGTAGACACCCTGGTATCTCCAGCAAAGTGCAGCCCTCTCATGAGACAGACCCTGGCAGCCTGGAAACTGCAGTCTCTTTCCTGAGGGTTGGACAGAGACAGAGGTGCTTGCAAAGCGCTAAGTTCACCTGGAAAGGCTGACTTGTTCTCCCATAGCTCCTCTACAGGTGGGCAGGTGTGGAAATGCAGTGTTGTTGTCAGCTAGCCCTTTGTGGACCAAAGAGCCTTAACTCACCCACCGTGTCTCCTGTGGCTGCTGTCCCATCTTTGTGTGGGCAGCCAGGTTTTTTTCCAGGGTGAACCATGGCATCAGCTGCCCTTTTCCCAAGGAATCTCACATGAGCAAATTCTTAACAGACATTTAAACACCAGCCCAAAGACCCCACTTCCTGCCACATGCTCTTTCTGCACACTCATAATTGTAAATTGCTTTTGGAAATGCCTGTGCTGAAATTGCAAACCTAAGCCTAATTTACCTTCAGTGGTACTCCAGTCCTGGCTGAAGATGGGCTGAATTGATAGAAGCAAAACGTGGATACTGCTGGGGGACATGTGTTCCTTCTCTCCATTCCAGCCAGTATTTTAGGAGGCTCCTAGGGATGAGCTTTGGGAAATGTGCAGCCCAGGAGGGCCCCCTGGTCAGGCTAAGTAGACCCTTGGGGGCTTTCCTATTTGAATTGGGAAGTGAGCTGCTCCTCCTTCCAGGGCTGTGTATCCTTCTATCCTTCCTTCACCAAGCCCCTCCTTGGGGCCTCTGGGCATCCAAATGGCTGAACTCTGTTTCCCTCTCATACACCTGGCAGCACAGGCAGCGCCACCCACCTCTCTGTCCTGCCTCTGACGAGTGCTTTCAGATGTGGTTGATGCCCCTTCTCCTTCTAGAACAAAACCCTTGTGAGCTGCATGCATTGCTGCCCTTTATTTGCTGGCTCCCTGTCCTCGTACTGTGCCAAGGGCAGACACCCTCCCCAGACCCAACAGTACCCCTTGGATGTACATGCTAAGAGTTACCTGGGTGCACCATGATCCATGCTACCAGGGTCAGACTTAACTTGCTTGAGGACTGAGCAGTGGACTGGGCATCAGGAGAGCTCTTCAGTGGCCCCTCTGATGTTGGAATAGCTCTGATTTCTGGGCTCAGAGGCTGGAGCCCTGACAGTAAGCAGAGACTGAAGAGATGTTGAATTTCTATTCTGGATCTGAAGCAGTGACTGTGGTGGTTTGTGTGACAGGCTCAGGATCTGTCTGTAGGGCAGATCCTCAACCTCAGTCTCAGTCCTGGGATTGACCTGTGGACTTTAGTGGAACCTAGAGAGGCTTCCAGAGTGACTCAGGTATGCACAGACACTCCAGTCAGAGTCCCTCCCAAACCTGGCCCTTGTCCTGCTCGCCT